CCAGATTTCTAGCCGTTTGGACATAGTCCAATGCTATCACTCCGGAGTTTTTCTGCTTTCTGACAGATTTCAGTCTTCTCTTGATGTGTCTAGATGACTTCATGTTGTCCTTTGAACTGTTCACTTTAATAATCACTGTTTGATTATCGCAGTTCATTAGGATAGCTGGCACTGGTTTTTCAACCACCGGCAAATCCATCAGGAGTTCACGAAGCCACTCGGCCTCAACTGTCGCAGTATCTAGTGCTGTAAGTTCTGCTTCCATTGTTGACCTCGTTAAGATGGTCTACTTGCAAGACTTCCAGGAAACAGCGCCACCTCCAAGTGTGAACACATATCCACTTGTGGCTTTTATCTCATCAGCATCAGATATCCAGTTTGAGTCACTATACCCTTCTAGTACTTTTGGATACCCGGTATAGTGAATTCCATAGCTCGTAGTGCCCTTTAAATAGCGCATTACTCTTTCCAGAGCCTGCCAATGATCATCTCCCGGATTTGAGACAAACCGGCTCAGCTTGCTTACAGCAAATGAGATGTCAGGCCTCGTTGCGCTAGCCAAGTACATCAATGAACCAATGATTTGAGAGTATCTCAGTTGATCCCTTACTATTCTTCGGTTTTTCCTTAATAGCACGCTGGGATCATAAGGAGTAGGAGCTGGCTTGCAGTCACTATATCCAAAGCGACTTAAAACCTTGTCCACATAGTGGGATTGCACAAGTGTAATCCCACCCTCATCTCCTTTTTGTAGTTTGATGTTAAGAATAACATCAGCCTCTCCCAAATCCTTCTTTTCAAAACTCTTGGACAGATAGTCTTTGACCTCCTCAATCACATTAAGGCTGGTCCCAAAGATCAGTATGTCATCGACATATAAGCACAAGATCACCCCTTCTCCCCCACCATAGCGATAGTATAGACATTTGTCAGCTTCGTTCACAACAAAGCCTGCAGATGTAAGCGTGGTGTCAAACTTCTCATGCCATTGCTTTGGTGCTTGCTTGAGGCCATACAAGGATTTCAATAGTTTACACACCATTCCCTCCTGACCTTCTAGTACATACCTGTCTGGTTGATCCATATAGATCTCCTCCTCCAGCTCTCCGTTTAGGAAAGCTGTCTTAACGTCCATCTGATGGACGAGAAGACCATGAGAGGCTGCCAGAGCAAGTAGTACTCGAATCGTGGTCAAGCGAGCAACTGGTGAGTATGTGTCGAAGAAGTCCTCGCCTTCCTTTTGGGTATAACCCTTGGCCACAAGTCTTGCCTTGTACTTTTCGATTGTACCATCAGGCCTAAGTTTTTTCTTGAAAACCCATTTGCATCCTACGGGCTTGCACCCATATGGACGCTCAACGACTTCCCAAGTACCATTAGACATAATCGAGTCCATTTCACTGCGTACTGCTTCCTTCCAGTAGTCAGCGTCAGGAGATGAATATGCCTCTTCTATGGTTCTTGGGGTGTCATCCACGAGGTATACAATGTAGTCATCTCCAAAGGATTTTGCAACCCTTTGTCTCTTACGCTTGCGAGTATCTACAATGTTGTCCTCCTCAGGATTTTCCTCAGGCGTTTGATCATTGTGTTCTATCGGTGCAAAGTGCTCATGGGGCATGACAGTTTCTTTACTAGAAGTGCTAGGTGTATATTTCATAGGAAATTCATTCTCAAAGAATGTAGCATCTCTAGACTCAAGAATTGTACCAGCATGCATGTCGGGTACTCCAGAGTTTACTATTAAGAATCTATAACCCACACTGTGGATAGCATAACCAAAAAACACACAATCAACAGTTTTTGGTCCAAGTTTCCGCTTTTTGGCTATAGGTACATTTACCTTGGCCAAACAGCCCCATGTTCATAGGTATGAGAGATTTAACTTCTTCCTTTCCCATTCCTCGAATGGTGTTACTTCCTTATGCTTCATTGGAATTTTATTCAGGACATGACACGCAGTCAAAACTGCCTCACCCCACCATTCCTTGGAAAGCCCCGCAGTGTCTAACATGGCATTCACCATCTCAGTTAGAGTACGGTTCTTTCTTTCGGCCACCCCATTTGATTGGGGTGAATAGGGAGGCATCATCTCATGAATAATTCCAAACTCTTCGCAAAAGGATGCAAACTCATTGGAAAAATACTCCCCACCTCTATCAGACCTCAACCGTTTGATTTTCCTTTCAAGTTGGTTTTCTACCTCAGCTTTATAGATTTTAAAGTAATGCAATGCCTCATCCTTTGTTTTCAATAGATACACATAGCAAAATCTAGTGCAATCATCTATCAGTGTCATGAAATATTTCTTTCCCCCTTTAGTCAACACGCCGTTCATTTCGCACAAATCGGAATGAACAAGTTCTAGAGGTGCCAAATTCCTCGCCTCAGACGCCTTGTGAGCCTTGCGAGGTTGTTTCGATTGAACACAAGTATGGCACTTGGAACCTTTGACCAAAGTGAATTTTGGAATTAAACTCATGTTAGCTAAGCGCGTCATACAACCGAAATTCACATGACAGAGTCACGAATGCCACACATTAGACTCATCATTCTCGCTAATATGGTTCACAGCATTATGATTATTACACATGTCATTCAAAGAAAAGCGGAACAAGCCTCCGCTGTCATAACCTTTTCCAACAAAAGTCCCATATTTAGAAACGACACATTTATTGGACTCAAACACAAGTCTAAAACCTTCTCTACACAATAGAGAGCCGCTAACTAGATTCTTCTTTATTGAAGGGACATGCTGCACGTTCTTCAGCTGCACGGTCTTTCCCGAAGTAAACTTCAGATCGACCGTACCAACACCATGAACAGCCGCAAGCGACCCGTTTCCCATCAACAAGGAGGAACCTCTCCCGACCTGATAAGAAGAAAACAGAGAAATGTCAGCACATACATGAATATTAGCACCAGTATCCACCCACCAATCAGGTGAATGAAAAACAGAGAGAACTGTAGGTAATATTTTACCGTACCCCGATGTTCCTCCGCCCTCGCTAATGACCATGTTGGCAGACTTCCTGTCTTTGCGCTCAGGACAGTCCTTGGCCCAATGCCCATACTTGCCACACACAAAGCAGTCTCCCTTTGCCTTTCCCTTGCCTTTCTTCTTAAAATTGGTTGCAGCCTTGGGTTTGACATCAGGCTTGACTTTCTTGTTGTTGTGGGATGCATGAGGGTTCTTCTTCTGTACCATATTGGCACTAGAACCTCCCTCAACCTTTTTGCCCCGCACGTCCTTTGCCCTCGCCTTCTCCTCAACACCCAAAGAGCCAATGAGATCAGGAACACTGAACTCTTGTCTCTTGTGCTTTAGAGAAGTGGCAAAGTCCGACCAAGAAGGTGGTAGTTTGGCAATAATGCCACCCGCCACAAACTTGTCCGGCAACTCACAGTTGTTGTTCTCAAGTTCTTTAGCCAGCATCTGAATCTCATGAGCTTGTTCTACTACAGAACGGTCATCGACCATCTTGTAGTCATAGAACTGCTCCATGACATACAGCTCACTGCCGGCGTCAGAAACTCCGAACTTGGCCTCAAGTGCATCCCACATGTCCTTCCCAGAAGGCATGTGCATGTACACGTCCACTATGTTGTCAGCGAGTACACTGATCAATGCTCCACGGAACAGGCAATCCGAAGCCTCGAACTTAGCCTCTTCCTCAGGAGAAAGAGGTGGTTCACTTCGTTTGCCCCGTGAAACATAGAAGCACTGCATCGCTGTCAACCACAATAGTGCACGTGCTTTCCATCTCTTATAGTTTGAACCATCAAAAGCATGTGGTTTCAGTGCAGCAGCAAAGCCAACTACCGAAAATGACCTATCAGGTTTTTGGATTGTTGGAAATATAGTCATTAATCGGCATATTTTAATCCAAAAAGTTAAAGCAATGATCATGGCATAAGCAGTGTAGGGTGATCTTAACATAACCAGTAGCATACTATGCGCATCATGAATGTCAGGAACAGGAACATACCAGTAACACGATAACATGCTAGAGGCATTATGTAGAACAGGAACAAGAACATAGCGCACATAGTATAGCGATAGCGCTAACAATGGGAACAGGAATAGCGCTAACAACAGTAGCAGGAGGAGAAGAGTATACCCCGAGAATGGCCCTCCGCTGGATGGTGAGGCAGAATTGCCTCCGTTGTTGTTGTCGTTCACGGCACCTCCTGGCGCACCAGCTCCGGATCCAGCTCCTGTCGGCGGCGTACCACCACCGCCAGCAGTGGCGGCGGCAACTCCAGACATGGCGATGAGCAGTCGAGCAGTCGTGCGGGAGGCACTCCCCAAAAACCTGATCACCCGCCTACCCGGTGCAGATCTCAGGCGAAGGTGTGGTTTCGGAGGCACTGCTCCTTCCAATCTCTCGTGCGCGCAAGAGATCAGAAGCGAGGAAGCGAGAGCAACTCAGGCGCGGAGAAGAAGAAACTAACACCGGGAAAGAAGCTAAGAAAATGGATCGGACTCGCGGCCTCCTTATCTATCAGGAGAAAGAACATGGACGCGCTGTTGCGGAGGGAATCGTGGGAACGTGGAACGTGGACGCGCTGTTGCGGAGGGAATCGTGGGAACGTGGGTTAGTGCCTGCAAAAGGATAGTGACGCCCGCCCGCCGCCATCCACGCCCTCGCCCTCGCCCTCGCCCACGGCCCGGCGCGCGCGTGTGGTATTCCGACCCCTACCTCAACTGGTCAACAGGGAGCCTCCAATAACTCCCTATTTAGGTTGAGATATTTCTCGCTTAAATCCTGAGGTGGTATTATTATCCTCAACACTTATTATGGGCCTTTGAGATTTAATATTATAAGTTGGGCCTAGCCCAATTATTCTAACACTCAAGTCATCGGGTTCGCCCAAGTACTATATAACATGCATGAAGCTAGCTTAGCATAGATGTCAAGTTTCTCAAGAATTTAACACGCCTATACATTCTCCTCTCAAAAATTAGCATCTGCTACGACAGCCACCTCCAGGCACGGATGACGAAGCATCATCCAATGCTGCTCTTCCTTGGCCTAGCTTTGCTCGCCCTGCAGCCTCTGATCGCGGCCGCATCACGGCGGCCGCCGCCGTCGCCGCTGTGTCCGAAGAAGTGCGGCAACGTCGACATCGAGTACCCGTTCGGCATCGGGCCAAACTGCTCGCTGTCCGACGATTTCAGCCTCGAGTGCGTCCACGACACCCCGCAGCTTCGCCTCGGCACCGATCGGCAGCAAGTGGTGCCAGAAACACCTAGGGATATTTTGGCTAGCTTCACAAAGTAGTGGGCTGGACGATCTGGGTTCGAAGCCTCACCCCTTCTAATTATATTTGATATTAGGTCTTTCGGGGGCGGAGACAGGCCTAGAGCAGCTAAGGCTTGAGCCCTAGGCCTGTCTCCAAAAACTTGCTTAAATTTTGTTGATTCACCATGTAAATTTTTCAGAAAACTAAAACTCCATTAGTCGAGCCCTACCTTATTCTTAGTCTTATATAATTTTTGGCTCCGCCACTGGTCTTTCCCTAATATTCGTGTTCTTTTTAGCAGGTGGTGGCCGTGCTCGACATCAACCTGCTCCACGGCAAGATCCGGATTGCCAACAGCATCTCCTGGCAGTGCAAGGACGAGAACGACCCAACCGGCGCCCCGTTGAAGAACAGCTCGTGGATGGGCCTCGACGTGACGGAGCTGCCGTACCGCTTCTCCTACGAGGACAACCAATTCGTCACCGTCGGCTGCAACGTGCTCGTCTTGCTATCCGGAGAGGAGGCGTCAGTCGACCCGATCCTGAACGTCTGCATGTCCACATGCTTCGGCAACGGGAGCAACATCAGGAACGGCTACTGCTCTGGCGCGGGATGCTGCGAGATGGCCATCCCCGTGGGACTCAAATCCTACCGGCTTGAATTCAGCGGGCCATTATTATTTAATAACAGCTGGTCGCCGGACAATTACACCTGGTGCAGCCACGCCGTGTTGATGGAGGCTAAAAGCTTCAGCTTCGAGAGGGACTACGCGACAACCGATAAGTTTTTCAGAAACAAGAACGGCACGGTCCCCGTCGTGCTCAACTTCGCGGCGGGCAGCGAGAAGTGCAAGGAAGCAAGAATGAAAGATACCTACGCGTGCGTCAGCGACCACAGCGCGTGCGTCGGCACGGCTGATGGCTACGTGTGCAACTGCACGAGTGGGTACAAGGGCAACCCCTACCTCCCCGGCGGATGCACAGGTACGTCCGTCCGTCTCCAATACCACTGATTTGAGTTCCCGGATTTGTGGAGAGTTTTTTTTTAGAATGATTTGTGGGGAGTTGCACGTGATTTTTTATTTTAATAATGAAAATCGGTACTAAGTATATCTTTTAGTCCTACTGAAGCCTGTTTAGTTCACGAAAAGAAAATTTTTGGATGTCACATCGGATGTTTGACCGGATGTCGGAAGGGGTTTTCGGATACGAATGAAAAAACTAATTTCATAACTCGTCTGGAAACCGCGAGACGAATCTTTTGAGCCTAATTAATCCGTCATTAGGGCATGTACAATGGTGTTTATTAGTGGTCTCTCTCAATTGCCATGCAAGTAAATTTGATGACATGGAAGAAAGAGAAAGGAGTACGGTTGTTATGCATGACAACGGCTCAGAGTCGATTCTTAGCATTTATTAGAGCAAATTTTGTTGCATGGTGTTGAAAGAAAGGAAAGAAGAGTAAGAAAAAGTATTTTGATACATTAATTATTAGAGACTATATTGTCTCTAATTGTTGTAGGATGCTAGTCTCTAAATAATGTAGAGTTCATATCTAACTCTACCTTTTGTACATGCCCTTAGCATATATGTGTTACTATAGCACTTATGGCTAATTATGGACTAATTAGATTGAAAAGATTCGTCTCGCGATTTAACCCCTAACTATATAATTAGTTTTTTTAATTTATATTTAATGCTCCATACAAGATTCAAAGATTCAATGTGATGTTTTTGGGAAAAAAAATTAGGAACTAAACCAAGCCTGAGTTGCATGTACATTTAACTGTACTATAATTTTTTTTTACGGGAATGCTAGGGGACGGGATACCGTTCCCCAATGGGATACTCCTCCTCCACAAATGCGATTCTCACTCATGCGACGCGGCCGAAGCCATCAGCGCGCGCCCATCCCTGTCCTTGTCCCCTACCGCCGCTGCCGCCGCCGTCAGCATCCCTCGCCGCCGCGCCCGTCCCCCGCCGCCGCCGTCCCCGTCCCCCACCGCCGCCGCGCCCGTCCCCTACAGTCGTCGCCACGCCCGCACCCGCCACCGTCGTCGTCCCTCGCCGCCGCCGCCGCGCCCGTCCCCTGCCGTCGCCGTCGCCATCCTCGTCTACAGGGGGAGGGCTGCAGGTGGCCGGCAGCGCGTCGGGATGCTCCTCCCCCAACGGGATGCACAATTATATCTACTAGGAATCACCTGATACCTGGTAAGTATCATCCGATAACTCTTAAGTATCACGCGATATATAAGTATAAATCATCTTATACCTGACATGATACCTCACGAGTATCACACGATACGTGGTAGAAATCGTCTGATACCTGACAGGTATCACATGATACCTCGCGAGTATTACACGATACGTGGTAGAAATCGCATGATACCTGATAAGTATCACATGATACTTTGCAAGTGTCACCTAAAACATGTGTAGAATCGTCTGATACCTGATAGGTATCACACCTGATACCTACTCGGGATCATCCCGTTCGAAAACGGATTCCGTTATATAGCAGCCCTTTTTTAAGAAACAAAGAAAAACGCAAACAAAACACTCACCATGTGCACGTATTCATCCCTGTGAACTTATATGAATGCACACGTAACATGCATCTAACTGTATTATATAGTGTCATCTGGATTTCAAAAAATTTTCTATATGCTTAGGACTTATTCGTTTCAAAGGAATTGTAAAGGAAAAGTACAGGAATAGGCAATCCTTTGAAATGGACACTATACTGTCATTCGTTTCAAAGGAATGCACCAAACTAAAAATTCCTATCCCTCCACTTTTTTAGGGAAAACAAAGGAAAAAAATAATCCACTCCAACCCAATGTTTTCAATCCTTTGGATTGTTTGCTACACAACCATAGAAAAATTTTCTATGTTTTTCAATCCTTAAGTTTATACATGCATTTCTATACTATTTCTATGTTTTCTTTATTCCTATGTTTTAAAAATCCTACAAACCAAACAAGCTCTTAATTTGGTCTGGTTCCAATGCCATCCTATATGCAGATATTGACGTATGTGCTCCTGGAAATGACGGGTGTCCGGACGGGATGATTTGCAGTAATTTTCCCGGCGGACACAACTGCTCGTGTCCAGAAGGAGAGCACAAGAGCAACAAGAGTGGAGTACTCATCTGCGAGCCGGACCTGAAACGATCTTTGCCGGACCTGAAATTTAAACGATCTTACCGGCTCCCGGTCTCAGCGATCATAGCTATCGGTACGTAACAAAAATGCAATTGAGCAAATTTTTTTTTCAGAGAAGGGTATATTTTTTACCCAGCCTCTATATTCAACCGAATATATGCAGTCATTTAAATTAGGAATTTAGCCTATCGAATATAAAACTTAGCCCTTAAATAAAAATTTGCTCCCATAGAGATTTGACTCAGAATCTTAGGGTGCTACTCATGTCACTGTAACCATTAGGCTACATGCACTTTCACAAATGCAATTGAGCTTGCCCTGTCATCATCTACTCTAATATATGCACGCACAGCTAGCACGCATGGACTTTAATAAGTTCGATAATTTTTATATGCTTAATTCAATATAGAATATATTGTGGTCAAATTTGTATTTTGAAAAGCGCAAAAAAAAGTCAAACATGATGTATATACATATAAAGTATTTCAAGCGTAACTTAGAGCAAGTTTAATAATATAGCCAACCACTAACTTTAAATCATCTATAGTCAATTTAATAGCCAACTCATACACATAGTTACCAATAAATATATATCGCATTAGTAATATGTGGTCCCACCTATCATAAACATATTGTGTCTTGTAGTTTGTGATACAGCTGACTATAAATCTGTAACCCGCTACTCTTCTCTTCTTATTTCTCTTCTCGATATATACTTGCTCTTAGACTATCATATTTTTCCCTCGTAAACAGGCGTCACCGGTGGCATCGCTATCATCGTGATGAGCTTCCTGAGCTCATACCTAGTACACCAGCGAAGAGCGCTTGCCGACATCAAGCGCAGCTACTTCAAGCGACATGGCGGCCTGCTTCTGTACGAGGAGCTGAACGCGAGGAAGAGCAACGCGTTCACCATATACACCGAGGAGCAGCTCGAGCAGGCGACCAACGGCTTCGACGAGAGCAACGTCCTCGGCCGCGGCGGCCACGGCACCGTGTACAAGGGCTGGGTGGCTGCAGCCTCCGACGACCTCGTTGTCGCCATCAAGCGGTGCAAGCTAATGGACGAGAGGAACAAGAAGGAATTCGGGAAGGAGATGCTGATCCTCTCCCAGGTCAACCACAAGAACATCGTCAAGCTACTCGGCTGCTGCCTCGAGGTCGACGTCCCCATGTTGGTCTACGAGTACGTCCCCAATGGCACCTTGTACCAGCTCATCCATGGCGGATCTGCCGGCGCCATCTCCTTCGCTTCCCGTCTCCGGATCGCCCACGAGTCGGCGGAGTCACTCGCGTACCTGCACTCCTTCGCGTCGCCGCCGATCCTCCATGGCGATGTCAAGTCCTCCAACATCCTCCTCGACGAGAGCATCATGGCCAAGGTGTCCGACTTCGGCGCCTCCATCTTGGCTCCCACTGACGAAGCCCAAATGATGACCATGGTGCAGGTGAGAAATGCCCAGAGGTTTTCCGGCTAGCTCCACAAGGTAGTGGGTTAGACGACCTGAGTTTAAAGCCTCACCCTTTCTAATTACTCCCTCCGTTTCAAAATATTTGACACCGTTGACTTTTTAGCATATGTTTGACCGTTCGTCTTATTCAAAAAATTTTGTGAAATATGTAAAACCATATGTGTACATGAAAGTATATTTAACAATAAATCAAATGATATGAAAAGAATAAATAATTACTTAATTTTTTTAATATTAGGTCATTTCCTAATATTCGTGTCTTTTTTTACCATGGTGCAGGGGACGTGCGGTTACCTCGACCCAGAATACATGCAGACATGCCAGCTCACGGAGAAGAGCGACGTGTACAGCTTCGGCGTTGTCCTGCTCGAGCTGCTCACCGGCAAGAAGCCGCTCTGCCTCGACGGGCCGGATGAGGGGCGGAGCTTGTCGGCGAGGTTCTTGGCCGCCATGAGGGAGAACAGAGCCGATTTGATACTGGATGAGCAGGTGAAGAGCGAGGCGAGCGGTGAGTTGCTGGAGGAGATCACGCTGCTGGCTCTGGAGTGCCTGCAGATGTGCGGCGGCGACAGGCCGGCGATGAAGGAGGTCGCCGAGAGGCTGGGCGGACTGCGGAAGCTGCACCAGCATCCATGGACGCAGGACGTCGTCGAGCTCGACGAGGTGCGGTGTTTGCTCAGCGACTCGCCGGAAAGTATCAGTTTTGAAGTGGACGCCACCAGTAGTAGCGGATACTGAAATTTGAATTAGAGAATAGTGTTGCGTCAGTTTGAAATTTGAGTCATGTCTCTTCTTCTCCTCGGTTTGATAAAATGTACTACCTCCGTCCCATAATAATTGTATTTCTAGAATTTGAATTTGTCCCAAAATAATTATCACAATAGAGTACTAATAGTCTCATTAATCACTTCTCATTTAAATTTCTTTCTATTTTACCCTCGATTACCTTTCCACTCTTATATAGTATACACTACTTCCTCCGTTTCACAATGTATTCTATCTAGATTTATTAACATCAATATAAATGTGAGAAATGCTAGAATGACTTACATTATGAAACGGAAGGAGTATTTAATAAGGGACACATTATAGTCTTTCTTCTTAAACCTTAATATTTGCTAAACAAACTAGAATTACAAGTTATACGAGAGGAAGGTAGTATGACTTGTAGACTTGTAGTCACTATGGTAACGCTGTAGCCAAATTAATTTCCTGCTCAATACGAACAGAGCGAAGATATTAGGGTCTCATCTTTTCGCTTATATTTATACTTATCAGCTAAAATTTGAATTTTTAACTTTAAATTTGAAGCTGATTTTAAGGTTTTTTTCATCGAAGTTTATTTTTCAGCCTTTACTTTTGCTTTTAGATCACTAAGAATACGCATATAAAAATTTTATTCACATATTTCTTTTCGTTTGTAAATAAGATGTTTTGCTTATTCCGCGAATAAGCGAAACGATTCCATTTATTACAACAATCCTGCTATTTTTTCCTCTCTAATTACTTAACTGCAGTTCTCAAAAAATAATATTTACTCAAATGCTGTACAGTTTAGACTAATAACTTTGTTGATGGTCTAATAAAATGCCTTTCTTTGTACCGAGCTGGCCTAGTACCTATGCCGATGCTCAGATGCCTTGTTTGAGAGGCCCGTAATCAATTCCCATAACCCACATACATAAGGAATAAGTCTATTTTGGCTCCCTCATTTCTTGCCCTTGGTCGAATTGCATCCCTCAACTGCAAAATCGGATATAACACCTCCCACATCTCCGAAAACCGTTGCAAATAGACTCCTCAAGTGGTTTGGAAGGTGGTTTTGAGCTGACGTGGGTAGTTGACTAGTTGAATTAGCAAGTAGGACCCGCATGTCATCCTAATCTTATCTTTCTTCCTCACCTCTCCCCCCTCCCCCCCTCACCAGGAGCCGCCGGCGACAGCCCGTCCCACGGTAACAGCAGATTGGCCACCTGCAACGTCGGCATCGCGTGCGCATGCGCGCCCGCTTCCACGCGCCGCCTCTGCTGTCCTTCCCCATTCCTCTTTCATATCTTCCTCTCTCTCCCCTCGCAACTAGCAGCGGAAGCGGCGGTCATGGCGTGTTGTCGTCTTCATCGTGGAAGCAGAAGCGACGCTCCTGGCATGTCAGCGAAGCGGCGCACATGGGGGAGGATCTCACCGGCCGGCTTTGCACGGGAGGAGGATCTCGTCGGCCGGCAGTGACACGCGCGAGAAGTAGATCGTCCATGCACGCGCAGAGGCGGACACGCACCTAAGAAAGAAAGAGATAGGCCAATTACTTGGTTAGACATACACAACTACAGAACACCGCAATCACTATGAGAATTGGTCGCTCTGCCATCGGTGTGGATTGGAGCTACGAGATCTAGGACCTTGGAAACGATTCTTGGCCTGAAAAATCTTCTTGGACGGGAGGGCCGGCGATCTGGTTGTGTGGAGATTATGGGTACCCCATACCCACACGGCATTATTATCCGACTAGTTATAGGGGATAACTTATATATATGGAATATGTAACAGATCATGACTTGGGTATTACATTTCCTTGTATATTACAGAATGGCGTAAAGTCCTAGTTTGGTAATATTGTAAAGTAGATTTAGGAAATTGATACCGTGTTGGTTAAAATTTTTATCTTGTAATCCTGCCTCTCATCCTATATAAGGTGGGCAGGAGGCCCTCTAGGGGGCATGAGACAATCTGATTGTCAGATCAATAAACACCCGGTGGATTCAAATCCCCAAACAGGAGTAGGGTATTACCTCTCATTGAGAGGGTCTGAACCTGTCTAGATCCCTGTCTCTGCATCCATCCACTTTTAGCTCTCGTGCGCTACCCCCTTTTCATATTGCCGAAAATTTGTTTCGACAGTTGGCGCGCCAGGGAGGGGTGCGTCGAGTTTCCCGTCGGTAAAGTGCGTTGGAATCAATCACCAACATGACCGGATCGTACACGCGCGTCATTCACCGCCGCAAGAAGCACGGAGGGCGCGTCTCATCAGAGCGTTGAGCGCCTGCCAGATCGAGAGATCGCGCCGATCGGTCGTGTGCTGTTTGGACTTCCGGATCGGCGAGCAGCTACGCGTGACCGGCAGCAACCAGCCGCCGGCGCATGATCTCCGTCGACGTCGCTTGGTCTAATTCAATCCGGCCGACCACCTCGATCGATCTACATCCATGCGGCTGTATAGTCCACGCGTCAGATCGATCCGCATGTGCATCACATGACGAGGGTCAAGCAGGGAGCAAGACTATGGCATATGCATCTAATCTTCTTCCTGCTAATTAGATTGATTATTAAATCAGATTGATTGATGGTCTTTTTCCTCTTTGCTCTTTCTTCTGGTGTATGCATGTTGCCGGCGACCAAGGTGTTCAATTAGGCACGGTATGATTAAGCCGTCGCTACGCAAGGCGAAGCCGTCCACTCTCTGAGCGAATCCAACTCGTGGGCTGGACAGGCATGCACGAAAGTTCACATGACGAGATCGCTGGAGATGTACAGGATGTGTCGATTCAACCGCCATGCATGGATTAATTAATCCAGCCATACATGCATTCAATCGCTGAGATTTATACATTTAATTTGCTGATATTAATCAGATTTATTTTATTTGTTTCCATGTGAATCTCGGAGCATCACCGATGGACGTCCTGCGGGCTATGGCCACCACGGGCCACACATGGGAACAGCCAGCCTATGGCTAATCAGGAGAGAACACGTGCAGAAAGTTGATCTTACCGATCAACAAGCACCATTAATTTACTTAATCATGCCTATATATTTTTATCATTAACCAAGTTGGTTTGTTGTCTTGTTCTGTAAGCACGCCGAGCCATGGATCGCTTGATTAGTCCTAGCGACAGAGTGCAACACCAGCAACCAATTTTCTCCGTCTCGGAGTCAGTCCGGTCGAGAAAATCAATCTCGGCGAGTTCAACAATTTAAATCTCCGACTCCGCCGGGTTTTTTCCCTTCCAACTTATTGTTGTTTATTAGATTGATCTCTAAATATCAGATTAATCTCTTGGTATTTCCTGTTGTTTACATGTAATGCTGTGGCACTGCTGTTGCCGATTGGTGTTTCCGCCTGCACGGCTGGCCTATTATACCGTCGTTGTTGGGCATCTACGACTTCACTGTCGGCCTGCCTCCGTCGCCGCCGACTGGTGTCCTCGCCTATACGGCTGGCCTATTATGCCGCCGTTGGTGGGCATCTTCGCTTTCACCATCGACCGCCTTCTTTCGCCGCCGACTGGTGTTTTCATTGCCATTAATAGGCGACTTTGTTCCCACATCAGCCACCTCTGCCGTCATTAAGAGAGATATTACAAAGCTAAGTCATCATTTTTCCTTATATGATATTTTTCTTTTCCTCTGCCTCACTACATCAACTGGTTCGTCGTTGACTAGTGAGTCAGGGGCTACAGATGTTATATCATATTTTTTAAATAACTTTCATAATATTTATCTTGATTGCTCGTGACATAATCTGAGTACAAAAGTGCCTATCGAGTTATGGATTTCCATCTTCCTATGCTTTCCGTTTGGTTTGCCAATGGATAGTTGCCTTTGGGCCGATTCCTAGCACCCGAGGGCTTGTTGGATGGACCGAATAACGCAAGGTGCTAAGTATTATTCGGAATAAATCAAAAGCATAGAGATAAGATAATTTATTTTCTGCTCTTAATAATTGCAAAAGTACCCGAGTAGTAAATTCTGATCCGTGAAACTTTGTTCCATTAATGACGAACTCATGTTACTCATATGCATGTTTGGGAAGTGCCTAGGCCGACTCCCGGTGCTTGGTGGCTATGACTAGTCGGGCAGAGTGTTTAAACGTAATGAGTCATCTACTCGAGGAAATCAAAATTGACGAGAGGAGAAATACATATTTATAAATATTTTAAAATGCTTGAATTTTTCTCGAGTATTATATTTACATCAGATACTACTCATCCTATCTGTTTGTTCTGTGGGATCCAGATCCAGATATGCATAAAAGGAATTCATGGCTTTAAGCTTATCTCCTACGCTTCAGGAATGGATCAGTCAGAACATCACCATCGGCTTGCCTTCGCCGCCGCCGACTGGTGTCTCCGCCTGCACGGCTGGCCTATTATGCCGCCGTCTGTTGGGTGTCTACGTCTTCACTGACCGGCTTGCCTTCGCCGCCGCCGACTGGTGTCTTCGCCTACACGGCTGGCCTATTATGCCGCCATTGTTGGGCGTCTACGTCTTCACCGACCGGCCGCCTCGTCTGCCGCCGACTGGTGTCTCCGCCTGCACGGCTGGCCTATTATGCCGCCGTTGTTGGGCGTCTACGTCTTCACCGACCGGCCGCCTCGTCTGCCGTCGACTGGTGTCTCCGTCTGCACGGCTGGCCTATTATGCCGCCGTTGTTGGGCGTCTACGTCTTCACCGACCGGCCGCCTCGTCTACCACCGACTGGTGTCTCCGCCTGCACGGCTGGCCTATTATGCCGTCGTTGTTGGGCGTCTACGTCTTCACCGACCGGCCGCCTCGTCTGCCGTCGGCTGGTGTCTCCGCCTGCACGGCTGGCCTATTATGCTGCCGTTGTTGGGCGTCTACGTCTTCACCGACCGGCCATCTGCCGCCGACTGGTGTCTCCGCCTGCACGGCTGGCCTATTATGCCGCCGTTGTTGGGTGTCTACGTCTTCACCGACCGGCCGCCTCGTCTGCCGCCGACTGG